TTCAGAACCAACTTCACCGCATGCGCCAAGAATCCACTCAGTCTATTAATGACTTCCTTTCTCAAATGTACTCTGTTTGGGATCAGCTTGCTCTTTCAGAACCAACCTGGCATGACCCCGAAGATGCAGTTTTATTTACTAACCATCGCAACCAGCAAAGGTTGGTGCAATTTCTCATGGCTCTTACCCCCTCCTTTGAGCCCGTACGTGCCTCTCTGCTTCATCGCCATCCCTTGCCCACTCTTGAACAAGCCATTTCTGAGTTGCTATCAGAGGAGACGCGTCTCGGTACTCTTCAAACTCATCATGTGGACTCTGTTCTTGCCACTCCTCCGTACCGGCCATCATTTACCCAGCGGACCACTGCTTGGCTCTATTGTCAGAATCGAGGCCTTCCTTCAACCCATCTCCTGGTCAATTGCCCCGTCCGATCCTGCCGCTACTGCAACAAACTTGGTCCTGGTCATCTGCAACAGGATTGTTTTCGCAATCCATCCCGATCATCGTCCAATAGCCACTCCTCTCGCGGTGGCTCTTCCGGGGAAGCTTTCATCGTTCCGGGAATCAGTCTCATCACACTGCTACTGCTGCTTTCGGGACTCAGTCTCATCACACTGTTGCTGCTGCTTCCGGGAATCAGTCTCCTCACACTGATGCTGCCGCCTCTGCAGGGTTCTCTGAGTCACTTGCTCCATCTACCCCTCGCTTTTCTCCGACGGATGTAGAGGCCATGCTCAAACAACTTCTCTCCCCATCTGGTACACCTCCTCCTACTGTTTTGTCTGTAATCCCAAGTAACTCTTCTTGGTATTTTGACTCTGCCTGTTGTAATCATATGACCTCCAGTTCTACTATCTTTTCTTCCTTCTCTTCATCTCCTCATATTCCCTCAATACATACTGCTGATGGTTCCCTCATGTCTGTCCGTCATGTTGGTACTGTTTCCACATCTTCTTTATCTATACCTCAAGTTTATCATATCCCTGCTCATACCTTAAACCTTATTTCCATTGGTCAATTATGTGAACTTGGTCTAACTATCACATTTTCTGCTACTGATTGTTTGGTACAGGACCCTCAAACGGGGCAGACTATTGGGATCGGCTGTAAGCATGGACGTCTCTATGAACTCATTCACCTTCATGTTCCTGCCTCTCCTCAGATTGCTGCTTCTACATCTACGTCCTCATTATCACCCTTTCATCTTTGGCATTGTCGCTTAGGGCATATTTCTGTTAATCGCTTAAAGTCTTTGGTTTCTAATGGACAGTTGGGTCATGTAATTCCCGATCATTTCGATTGTATACCCTGTCAACTTGCCAAACAACCTGCTTTATCATTTAATAAAAGTACTTATTTTTTTCCTTCCCATTTTTGGTAATGCAATTGTTAACAAATTAGCAAGTTGGGTAATATCATAGCCATAACCCCAAGGGGTTTGGCTTAGTGGGAGGATAGGCAACCAAAGGACTTACTACCAAAGAGGTCGTAGAGTCGAATCCCACGAAAAACAAACATCTCAAGCCTTTGGTCCACTGGAGGTTTGCCCGATCATTAACTTCAGGGCCAAGAGATTAGTCGAGATGCATGTAAACTGGCCCGGACATCGATGGCAAATGCCTTCAAAAGTAGCATTTGAAACCCTTTCCTTTTTCGGTGTTATGTTTACTTTGTATATAGAGAAATTGCTGACAGTGTACATAAATCAATGCTTTTACATAAAATGACGACAAATGATCCTTCAATAGCATCATTGCAACCCTTTTCTTTTCTGGAGTGTTGCGTTTATTGCGAGAATTGCAGTGGTACATAAATCAATGTTCAGATGCCAATGTTCGAGCATTATGATAGATTGGTCTTTACACAAATCTCAGTATTGGCAGTATGTAGACTTAGTGAGGCCAAGCATACGGTTACCGTACAACTCGTGGTGATGACTCATCATTTGCAAACCCAAGTAGTTCATCAAAGAAGCTTGTCACTGATGCTGGCCAACTATAAGATGATAATCCATCAAGCATCATTTGGGCTGATGCATCGCCTTCTGTGTGATTGACAATTTGCATTTCAGTTCGACTTTGTGAGACCCCGTGATGAACTCCGCGCACCCTAGAGTAAGTATGCCTTCCGGTGCTGTCCTTTACTGAAGCTTCATCTTCCAAGTAAGGGACAATGTATTTTTGTGCATCACTCTTTGATATTCCAAGGTGCTTTCCAGGCACACTGATATAAAAGTTGTGCTCAGTAGCTCGGTTGAGCACACGCGGGAGTGCCTGGGCAACCTAAGTCTGCAAAGTAGAAAACAAAGGGGTTAAGCACAGATCGTTGGACCGCGCTGCAAATTATAAGCAAGATATACAAATCCTACTTCGGTTCAAAGGGGCTGGTTCTTTGAGGAGGTCTACATGCAACCTCCACCTGGGTCCACTTTTCCCCCTCATCAGGTTTGCAAACTACAGCGTGCTCTCTATGGCCTCAAGCAAGCACCTCGTGCTTGGTTTGCTACGTTCAGTTCTACCATTCATGATTTTGGGTTCACCTCTAGCTCCTATGACTCTGCTCTTTTTATACGGACTACTTCTCATGGTACTACTCTTCTTCTTCTGTATGTGGATGATATGATTATCACTGGTAATGATGAAGCTGGTATTCTCCACCTCAAACAGTTTCTCCACCACCAGTTTGAGATGAAGGACCTTGGTACTCTTAACTACTTCTTAGGCCTTGAAGTCTCTCATGATTCTACTGGTTCCTATTTGTCCCAGGCCAAATATGCATCCGATCTTCTGGCTCGTGCTGGTCTGACTGATTGCAAAACTACCTCTACTCCAGTTGATCCTCAGATTCGTCTCACTCCTCTCGATGGGACTCTTCTCTCTGATGCTACTCTTTATCGCCAACTCGTCGGTAGTCTTGTCTATCTCACAGTAACTCGTCCTGACATTGCCTATACTGTTCACATTGTCAGTCAGTACATGTTGGCTCCTCGCACTCCCCACTATACTGCTCTACTCCGCATCCTTCGCTACCTCAAAGGCACTTTGTTCCATGGCCTTCACTTCTCTGTTTCCTCCTCTCTTGAACTGCGTGCCTTTTCCGATGCTGATTGGGCTGGGGATCCTACGGATCGACGCTCCACCACGGGATTCTGCTTCTTCTTAGGGGATTCTCTTCTTGCTTGGCGTAGCAAAAAACAATCCCTCACTGCCCACTCTAGCACCGAAGTTGAATACCGAGCTCTTGCTGATACTACTCAGGAATTTCTCTGGCTTCGCTGGCTCCTTGCTGATATGGGTGTTTCTTCTTCTGATCTTACCCCTCTCTATTGTGACAATCAGAGTGCCATTCAGATTGCTCACAATGATGTTTTTCATGATCGCACCAAACATATTAAGATTGATTGCCATTTCATTCGCCAACATGTTACTTGTGGTACTGTTCATCTTCTCCCTATTGCTTCAGTCGATCAACCCGCTGATATCTTCACTAAGGTTCATCCTCCTGGCCGCTTCAATGATCTTGTTTCCAAACTCAACTTGGTTGATGCTTTCCCTCCTTGAGTTTGCAGGGGGATGTTAGTGTATAATTGTTAATAGCTTTAATTGTATAACTTTAACACTTTATTCTTTATGCTTTCGGCGGGCATCCAATGTATCATATTCTCTCTATAAAGAGAGTGCATTCTCTTTGTAATAGACACACATTTACAGACAAACAATTCATTGTCTCTCTCTCTCTCTCTATCCTCTCTCACTTTCTCAAACTATTATTTCATGATAATAGAATTGTATTTTGAATTTGTAAATTTTGAAATTATGATTTGAAAAGAAAAAATTTGTTTAGTAATGAATTTTAAAAAGAGTTTCAAATTTTTTATGAAGAGAAAAATTGTTTGGTTATAAGTTTTGAAAATAATTTTCAAAACTTAATTCAAAAACTTATAATTCATAACCAAATACACAACTCAAAACTCTATTGAAAATTATATTCGAAATTCAAAACCAAACTCTTTTTAAAATTCAATTCAAAAAAATAATTTGTCATTTTAGTCTAAAAAAACAATTTGTATATTTAAAAAATATCAAAAACAAATATAATTTTTTTTTCTCCAAATAACAGGTCGTGATTAGCAATTGCTAAAAAAAAAAAATTGTACTATTCCGATCGACCGGCTGAGTAAATAAAAAATTCAATAATTGTCTGCTTCACTAAATATGTTTTCAAAATATATTTTGAAATTGAGTTGGAATCATGATGTAAAAACTCAAACCAAACACAACATTCAAATATAAGAGATTAATTTTTGAAAGCTCTACAAAACACAGCCAAGTATTCCCACTTTTTATTGAAATAATGATTTCAATAGAATGACTTACGGAAAAACGTAACAAACAAAATGGGAATACAAAACTACAACCAACATTCTATTCCATTGTACAAATGGGCTATCACAATACAATACAAATCTTATGATGCAAACAAGTAAAGAAAACAATTCGTTTTCAAAATTTAACCAGTTTTACAATGTTTTTAAGCTTAATTTGTTGAGCCAAACACGAGTCAAGTTTGGATAAGCACAATTCATTTTACAACTTTATTAATACTATACCAGTATTTATATTTTACCTGTTTAAACTCCACACAAATGGTAGATTGGCAAAAGCTAATACTCCTACTTCAAGATGGTGAAATAACAACAATTCAGCTCTACCATATCGAAGTATCAAAAAACAAAAACACAAGACTTCTGCTAAAATGGGGACTTGCGGAGGGCAAGATGTACACCTTATATTATTTCTCGATAGGCTGTTTTCACCCTATCCCTTTCAATTAAAGAATATGTGCATCACAAATATATTATAAAAATAAAATAAAATAAAATAAAAAAGAAGAAGAAGAAGGAGAAGAAGAAGAGAGGAATATTTCTCTATATAGGTACACTCAGGTGGAAATGGAAATGTCTCTGAAGATTAGTCACATATACCACACCAAGCATGAAATAGAGAGCAATCTACATATCTTGACTATGGAACCAAAATTAAACTGGGTGACTGATTATTGATCAGATGAACAAAATTAGTAAAACGAATGGCTTACATATATAAACAATATACACAAAAACACCCTCCGTGACATTTTTCTAAATAAAAGAAAAGAAAAGAAAAGAGAAAGAGAGAGAGAGAGAAAGAGAGAGAAAGAAATGCCTTGAGCAAAAGCATACGAACTGCGCTTACAAATTATATATAAGGTAAATTTATCAGGTAATCAAGGATGAGAAGCCAAAAAAAAAATCTAGGTAGAGGCAAAAAAGGTCACGAGCTATCACGTATAGTAGGAAAGGTAATCCCATCTTTTATATGGTTTACTGCAGTGGGGCATAACCAATTCAGCATGTTTGGACCTAATACCTGATCAGAATGAACATGAGTTACCCAAATACATAAACATATAGATATATATGTATATATATATAGAGAGAGAGAGAGAGAGAGAGATACCAAGGTAATATTTTTGTAGATGCCAACATTATAAGGATGACGATAGCTTTGTCCAGATTTCCTAGCCAACCATGCTGCTCTTATTGCTTCATAATACTGGTAAAAGAAGAAAATTCCCAAATCCTTATCAATGAAATAATTAAAAAAAGTAAAAATCGATCTTGTGTCTCCAATGTTGAAACACACAAGTTACCTCTATGGTCGTCATATTATGAAGGATGAGGTAGATATGCCAGCCAAGGAGAGTTCCCAGTGTCAAGCTCAAGCCAACAATTATCACCCCAGAAATAAACTGAAAATTTCACTGCTTTTAGAATGTTCTGAAACATTTAAATCATCTCAAATAACATTTAAAAGGTGAAACAAGTGAGAACACAAAGTGAATTGAATGAAAAGTTTGATGGCTCGTGCAAATTCAAATAATCAATCAGCAAACTCCTGAAAGTCTCAATCAACTAATTCAAAGATTAAGCTCAATTTGGTTACCGTGATAAGAGAACACCAAAACAGGAGGGGAATAAGCGAAGAGACAATGGTCAAAAACCTGCATTTTCCTGAACCTGCTGCGAAACTAAGCATCAATCCTGTTTGGTTTCATTTTATTTTATTTTATTTTTTGTGTTTCAGAAACAAAAATAATGAAAAGTTCAAAAACACCCCTTGTTTTTATTTTTAAACGGAAACAGTATTCAAAATTTTGAAAACTACTTTTTGGTGTCTCCTAGAAAAACTGTGTTTGGTAGAACTTTGGAAACGTGATTCCACACCTTGGTTTGAGTGTTGTGTTTGGTTAGAATTTTCAAAAATTGATTCCACCCACCTCTGAAAACACGTCTACCCAGTCATCCTCCCGGTCGTCTAGCCGGTTGACCAAAACAGTGTTTTTTTTTTTTTTGGTTGACAATTGGCACATGTTATTTTTTATATTTTAAATAAAAAATATTTTCAAAATTTTTAAAAAAATTTTATGAACTTTGAATAGAATTTTGAGTTATGTGTTTGGTTATGAGTTGTAAGTTTTTGAATCAAATATCATGTCATATCAAAAATTCTGAACTCAATTCAAAACTCATAACCAAACAAATTTTCCACTCAAATCATAATTCCAAAACTCACAAACTTAAAATACAACTCTATTCTCAAATCATAATTCTAAAACTCTACCAAACGCTATGTTTTTTAAAAAAATTCCTGAAAACAATTCAGCAAACAAGTTTTTAGTAATTTTCAGAAAATGAAAATAGAAAATAAAAAATAGAAAATGAAAGGTTAAACAGGTATGTGCTTAACCTCAATTGTAGATCAGTAAAAGTCTGGATTGAAATCTAAACAAAATCAAAATTTGAAGATGACTTCAAACCCTACAAACTGAATCTCCTTGTCATTTCAAAAGTTGCTTAGAAATTGAGATACATAATTCCCGTCAAATTTTAATCAGTGAACTGCATCTAAGGGTTCTAAAAGAGAAATTCTACGAATTCAGAAAACACAAAACAACTTTAATAACCAAACAGTTCCCAAAACTTTAGTGTCTGCTATATAGTATGTTAAAGTTTAAACTATATAAACTTGGTACCACACTGTTCAGTTTTTGTGCCAGATGAAGTCTTTAATCAATAACTCAGGGACTAAACTCCTTTAAATGTGTATCAGAAAGAAAGAAAGCTTAGCCAAAATAACTGATCAAAGATTCACCTCGGTGAAAAAATTGAAACAAGCCATTGCAAAAAGTATTGCATAAAATAGTTATAATGATTAAATGCTGACTTACGTAAAAGATCTTGAGGGAAACCATTCCAGAGAAATTCCAATCCTTCTGAACTGTGCAGCTTACTAGAACAACCTAAGCATGTCAAAGCCTCATGTCATAATTTGAAGCAAGTCGATGATATTATTAACAATATCCACACACAATAAATAAATAATAATAGTAATAGTAAAAAAAAAAAGAAAAAAGACAATGGGACCATGGCAAACCTACCGAAGAATAAATGCTTGCCATAGTTGCATACAACACAAGGACAATAAAGGCCTTGTAGTTCCTAAGACCAACACAATTATTTATCCACATACAGTGATGATCCTGCATGCAGTTTTTACTGTGAGAAAAGATACAAGAGTCATAAGGCAACAAATTGCACGTCTAGTTGAGTGACAACAAGAAGTTATATATCATTTAGCTATTTTATAAAAATAAATTAATTAATTAATTAAAAAATGAAAGAACACCTACCATCCTCAAAATACACCTTCTACAAGACCGACAATGATGAGTCCTGGGAGGCTTGTATGAAGAACACTTGTCACACTGACTCAGCCGCGTGCCCTGTAAACCATGCATGTCTGCCACGTTACTTATAAATCAGTGGCACATGGATGTTAAGCACGTAATTTGAAACAAAACTCTTGGAGGCTCTATGAATTTAATTTCTCAATGCAAACCGATGATTTGACTTTTCCCAACCATCAAACTTCTAATAATCTTGTACACTCCAAATACCAAAAAATAAAAAAATAAAATCCAAACAAACTCTTAATATGAGCTATTCTACATTGTTTAAGTTGTCTAACATTATTACCCTAACTTTCAAGCATATGGGTGATATTACAATGAAATTTGGAATCTAAAAAATTACAATGAAGTTTGGAATCCTACCACTGTTTGAACTTTTAAAAAAAGCTTGGCATCTTCACAATATAATCACATAGGATGCTTGAAAATTCAGATAAACTCATCAGGGTTTATTGTATAATCATTTGTGTCAAATATTGCTTTTGAAACCTCTTATTTGATGAATGGCCACTTTAGCCCAATGGTATAAACAATCGATGCCAACTGTGCATGAAAACAATAGTCAACAAGTATAAACCTAATTTGAACACCAGAAGATCCCCCACCAACCTCCCTCTGTGTGGCGGTGAACTCTTCTCACCAAATAAACAATATTCAACAAGCTCAAACCTAATTTGAAGATCCCACCACCAACCTCCCATCATGGGGTGGCAAACTCTCTCCTGCTTTGTCAAAACTTGATTCCTTCCCATATATCATTTACATTCTCATACATTTCACACCACCCACTCATAGCTTGGAAATAAGATTGACCTAAAATAGATAACATGCTTAAGAAATTATGTAACTAGTTTACAAAATAGAATCCAAATTTGGCATCTAACTTACATCATCCATATCTACATGTTAGTTTACCTTTTTGAAAATTTCCTGAAATGCCTCTCTATATTTGAAATAGAGTGGTTGTAGTTTGTGCTGATCTTCAAAATTTCCTAGAACCTTATTTCAATGATTGTAGAGAGGCATAAACTTAAAAGCAACAAACTCTAATGTCATTCTAGGTGGTTGTGCTTAACTCAGCGTGTTTTGTAGAACCATGTGACAGCTAACAGCTAAACATGGATACCATTCACATCTGAAGGAAAACAACCAACGGCCTCAAATATCATAAGATAGGACACAAACACTGGACAAGGATGCAAGAAGGCATGGAGTCATTGTGACATTGAGTTCTGTTAAAACAAGACAGTTATGGCCGAGGTTTGGGAGATCTGCACGGAGACGAGAACAAGAGGACAAGGAGACATTGTGATGCTGCGAAAGGTTATGGCATAGGTATGGGGTCTGTATGTGTGATGTATGAATCTACAAATATATTCCTGCATAAGCACATGCCAACTTTACAAAAACTAAATAAACTTATGATAACTAAAGACTAGTAAGAACACGACTCTTAGAAGTCTATATATTTTATATCAAGTGAGTAATGGGTTAAGAACAAATTTAGGTATACTAAAGACTAGTAAAATAGGATCCTACGCAATGGGTTAAGCACAACAATTATCCTAGCACAATAAATATGACACAACCGTGCCCACTGAACTCTTGCACAGTGAACATAGATGTTTTGAGATTTATAAGAAGAGAGAAAAAGACGGATTGAGTAATCTCAGCTCTCCATAACAGGATCATACTTGCCCACTGAGCTCTTGCACAGTGAATATAGATGTTTTGAGATTTAAAAGAGAAAAAGAGGAATGGAGAAATCTCACCTCATCATAACAAGTCTCTTTTGCATTATAAGGAAGCACTTTCCAATAACCCATTAAAGAGAAGTTTTTGGTGGTGGAGGGGTTTGGCTAGATAAGTTCCTTTTGACAACGAAGTTATGGTTTCTAGTTTTTACGTTCTGTTATATAGACTCTTTTACTTCCCCCAGTACTCCTCTGTCCACCGGATATGATGAGGGGAAGAGTATAGGATATGAGTACGACATCCATACTCAATTTAGACACTTGGATCCTCTAATTTTATATTATGTTTGAAAAAGACAACACTCACATTTTCTAGTCAAGAAATATTTTAGGTTTTCATATGAATGGGAGATTAAATTTCATATTATCTATATTTCTAAATAATTGTTAAAACCTATCACCTACTTCACCCACTAAACCTAACCCACTACACCACTACCACCTCCACTTCACCTACTCCACCTACCACCTCCACTTTACCTACTCCATCTACCACCTACTACCACCTACTCTTCTATATATAGGAATCATTGTAGCATTCAATAATTCAACAATTACAACAAATCAATATCAATCAATAATACATAAATTGTTACAATAATTTATAGCATCTTATCTAAAAAATTTATATAATATGTAATATATAGATGTGTCCCCACCATACCTAACTCTTGGATGCATATCATAGTATATCCTAAAATTTGGGTTTAGGAACATCTAATGGTTGGACACACATCCTCACCTGATACTCATACCCGAGTTCGTGTAACATAGGTTTTTGGTACAAAGGCAGATGTCACTAACTTCCCTCCTCCACCTTATATGAATTAGAGTTATGTATGGTAAACTTACTACCCTCCTCGACTTCCTCTTGTTACAATTCAAAGAACCATATGCTTCCAACTAATAATGGTGTATCTTTCCCCCTCTAACTCTTCAAGCGTCAAAGGCTTCGTACGTTCCACAGTTGCCAAAACCATCTCACACAAAAGCTTCAAAAGATCTTTGAGACGTGGCTCCACACAAACTGACTCCTTAATGCACCCCTTCTTTGTCCTTTATTAGGGCTAAATCCCAACACTTAGGCCAAGTTTGGGAAGATCCAAAAAAGCCAAAAAGCCAAAAAGTTACTCAAAAAGCTAAAAAGTTAACACTATTCACCAAAAGTCAACAATTACGGCTGCACAACTCTCAATTCAAATTTTTCCCTACAAATCAATTTTTACAATTTTTTATTACACATTTTTCAATAAAAAGTCAAAAAGTTAACCCAAACATTCATATTTTCAACCTCAATTTTTTAGTCCAAAAAGACAAAAAGTGCACTTTTTTAGTCTTCCCAAACTTGGCCTTATTAATCTCGCTGACAATCCCCATCCCTATTACCCTAAACCAAATTGGCCCCAACATTTGTCTCCATCTACTAGAACCACAACAATAGAGCTTTTTATCTTTTCCAAACTATGACAAGCCACCATTGATTGAAACCTCCTATTCTTGAAGTGGAAGATACCAATCCCTCACCTTCATGTTCTAAAATTGCATTGACCCCTACCCAACCTCTGGAGTGAATCTAAATCCTACTCCCTTTGTTGAGATGTCTAAATCCTACTCCTTGACATTCACCATTGATCCTTGCACCAAATGGCTACCATCGACACTCTTTTCTACCATACCTCCCAAACTAATCTCATCCCGATCAGTGACAAAGGTGAAAACCCCTTTGCACAATAACTGGACTCCACCATAACTTCAGGCTTTAACACAAATGGATTGGCATTTAACATCTAGCTTCCGAGAACCTAACTCATGGTCAAACTAAAAAGCAAGACAGATTTCTCCAAAACAGAAGATGGTGATGAAATGACCTGAATCTAGGCCACCCCACGCTTACTCTCCTGAACAACTTTGGTAATGAGAAAGTGACATTGGCAGAAGACACATGAGAATGTATAATGCTCCTGGCCCACCTATAAATCTGTCTCTCAAGCATCTCTCTCGGCCCAAAGCTTATTCAAATGCCCATGGAAGGGTCCCTCTATAAGGAGCCTCACACTATCCCAGACATCCACAAATCAAGGGCCCTTCTATAAGGAGCCTCACACTATCCCATACATCCACAAATCTAGCTTGACAAGGTTCTAAAGCCTTCTACACCTGGCCACGCCAACCCCTCACCATTGCAAGCCTTCCATTAATCCCCTCATCACGTGTGAAAACCTAGAAAAGCATTCCACCCTTCGATCACGAGCTTTTTAAGCGTGCACAAGAATTGCCTCCTTCCCCTCTTCTTTGATAGCTCTGATGTCAACACTGCCCAAATTAGTTTCACAAACGAAATCATAAGTACTTTTTTCAGCGTTAATGACCATATCCTTAACATAAATCGTTAATCTAGCCAACTCACTCCATAGACCACACTTTCTTCCTCTTACAATCTCAACTCTACTGAAGATTACTTGCCTCCACCTTTTTTGGACCTAGAAACAACACAAACTCTATAAAATTAACTAATCAATCCACTCTAAGACCAACTTAGCATCCCTTACCGGTGTTTTAGTTTATTAAGTTGTCCCATCATATGCCAGCCAAAAAACTCAACAGTAGGTTGTCAAAAGTGAAAACTCCCTCCTCAACCCATGCACCCTGAATCTCATGCCACCCACCTCTTAACATCTTATGAGGCCACTCCAAATTATCATTGACTATAAACAAGCTCTGACTAAGACAAACATCTCTGGTGACCACCTAAACCAATATGGAGTAGCACCGATGCGACTCACGTCCACCCATCACCAAATACTGACCCTCTAGTATGCAAACTTTCTCCTACATAAGTAAATTCCAAGCCTTCACCTCAATAGACTCCCACCCCTATTAAGCTTGCTCCAAATTTTTACTAGCCTACTACTTCCCATCAAGCTCCCGAAGAAACCTTGCCTATGAAACCCTAGAGATAAAACAACTTCTTACCCAAACAACTAACTTCAAAACCTAGCAACGTGAGAGATCTTTGAAGATCTCACCCACACTCCACCACCATGACGTTATTCTCACCCATGCCATCTCAAATAAGAATGACCGTCTGCTGCCATAGTTGAACAATCCCATGCATCCTTCATCAAAAGTCCTCATCACCAATATGCAAGTACTTAGTTTGCTAATGAGCCCTAACCAAAATAGAAGAAAGAAACAGAAAAGACATAAAAGAGAGAAGGAAAATCAAGGAAATCAAAGGAAAAAAACAAAGGGTTTCAAACAAAACCCTAAAATAATTGCATGAGAAAGACTGGGGATCTTGCATCCCTGTCCAAGTCAATTAAAGATTCGATGCTATAGTTCAAAAGATGGTCATATGGCATTAAACGTCAGTGAGGTTCCTCTCACATACCCAAACAAGAGTTGTAAGGAAATAGTTTACTAGCTTGTGAAAGAAACCCCAAATTGCCAGTTTATTGGAATTGGACCATAAAACAGTGATGATTATGGCCATATGGCTTCCATTGCATATAGCAAATACCCATTTATTTCATGTAAAATGCATCTGCCATGCTCTTCTGCACAGTCATTTATCATGAAAACTCTTTCATTGGTTTCCACCAAAAAAAGAAACAATTTTCAATACCATTTTATTTAAATCACCTCGTAAAAGCCCAATTAGCAATTCAAGCGCCAACAAAATTTATAGTCTTCCCGTGCATATACTTTCTTAGAAAAGTTAAATGATATCAAAGCTCAATTAATTAACCTAACCATGGGATTATGCTTTTAAATCCCCTGCCAACCATTAAAATGCATACATACATACATATAAATATATAATACACAGCTACATTCATATCAATATTCACATACAATTTCACAAAAATTCCAGGGTTTGTCATTGAATCCAAACACAATACATATAAAACTTCATAGCTTCAATCAAAAAATAGAATACAAATGATTTTCAAATCATTATCCAAAACCAATAAACACAAATATCACTTTAAAAAATAAAAACAAAAAAAAAAATACTTACAGTTTTCTTGGAGTCTTGATCTGAAAGCTCAGAATCTTCAACATCAGGGACGTATGCAGATGGGACGCCACCTGGGTCGGTGAGAACACAGACGAGGAAAGAGAAAAGAGAGAAACAAGCCAAGTAAGTGAAGATCAGAGCGTTCAATGAACCAGCCGAGCTCTGCAACCCTAACCAATCTTCAAGGAAAACGAAGATTGTGATGTAGTAAACAAAACCCAGTACAAGAAACACGGAAAAAACTGGAATTGATACAAATCTTGCGCACTTCATTGATTATCTCTCCGCTTTGATGAAGAGGACTCGAAGGCTTCAGAAACTACTTCTCACAAGTCAATTAATTGAAATCTTGTGTACATTCGTTTGGGAGTAACATACATACAAAAAGGGTAATTTTGACGTGGATTGATTTTTAATTTTTTAATTATTTTAATGTGGGGTTAAAAAAATTTATTTGAAATGAGTTTTTTTTTTTAATTTTTTTAACTTTTGGTGAGAGAAGAATAAAATAATTATAATTTAGATGTGAAATTTTGTCTTATTAGTTTCTTGACCTATTTTGTCTTTTTGTGACTAAAATAACATCAAAACCACATGCCAAACATAGCTATAATCTTCAAACTTTATGTAGTTTCAAAATAAAATATTTATATAGTTCCAAAATAAAATATTTATATTAATAAGTTTTATATATTTTTAATTGTTACTAAAAAAAATTTATGTTTCTTAAAAAAATTTAAAGACGATGCTACATTCTATCATTGCCAGACTTCCGTTAGACGGTCACCGAAAACTCGTTGAAATGTTCAACGTCACCGGGAAGCTGCTAAGTATCATCGCAAAATTTGCCTGATTATCGTTGGAGTGTTCTGAATTGTCACCAGAAGTCACCGAAATGTTTAAAATGTTTGTTGAACGCCAAGAATATTACCAGGGTCTCACTGAAATGTCCAAAATATTATCGGGAAAAAAAAAATAAATTGAGAAATTAAAGCAAAAAAAAATATTGATAAATTGAAAAAAGAAAAAGAAAAACGTAACAATAACAAATAGCAACAATGGAAAAAAATATATATATTATTTTCAGTTTTTGTACGGTTTAAACTAATAATTTTCAATATTGATCAAACTAAAAAACAAACTTTAAAACTATAAAATGTTACAGTATCAAAATATGATTCTATTAAATATTTATAATTATTAATCAAACTAAAAAATATGTTATGAAATTGTAAAATTTTACAGTTCTAAATAATGATTCATTTTAGCACAAAAAAAACTGAAACTATAAAATTTTACAATTTTCACCTCTTGTAACTGAATTCGAAAACAACTTGTTTAGAATTTAAAAAATTTCTCTATTAAAATAAGAAAATATAAGTGTAGTACGAAAAAAATAAAAAACTTGAGAGATCGAAGAAAAGAGACAGATATAGAGAGAAGGTTGTACTTCAGCAATTATTTTTTATTTAGATCTGGCCAAATCTGATGTAGACATATTCAGATCTGATGTAGATTTGAGTAAATCTACATCAGATTTGAATAAATCTACTCATCTTCTTCGTCGGAAAACTTATCTCATTTGTTGTTTGTGAGCGCGAAACAAGGAGTCGGTACTCGGTAGTTGCCGACTAACTCCAATCAATGGTGATCGCCGATAAATATAGATTAGAAAGAGAAAGAAAAGAAGGAAGATGTAGTCTTAGTCATGGTCGTGGTCATTGTAAGAAGTAATGGGCACAGGACTTTTAGGTCTATCTAAAAGGTTTTGGAATTAAATAGAACACGAACTTTTCAAAAAGGACTTGTAAGTAATTTGCCCATTTTATTTAAGGTTTGGTCTGTCTCCGGTCCCAAATCAGAACGGACAGTCCATCTAGGTTATTGGGCTTATTTTTGGGTTTCGTTTCGATGATTTATACCATTTAACTTTTAAAATTTGTCGAGTACATTATTTTTTTATAAAAAATCAAGTCAATCAGATAACGAAAATCACGTGTTTAAATTAATTTTATATGAAGCGTTTATTTTCTTACAGTCTATTTTTTTTTCAATTAATCTAAAGACGTGATTGTCGTTATCCAATTGATTTGATTTTTTGTAGGAATGATACACTCGACGAATCCTAAAATATAAAGGGCTTGAATTATCAAAACAAGACTAAAAAGTGAACCCAATAGGCTAAATGACACCTCTCTAATCCGATTTGGAACTGAAGCCAGTCCCTTTTATTTACACACCACAAAAAAATTCTTAGTTCATCACTTTATATCCAATTATTTACCTTTTGTTTAAACATTTATATTTAAATAAACAAATGATATATGTTAAGAATTTTTTTTTTTTTTATAGTGTACAAATAGAATTTTCAATACAAAAATTGAGGTTCCAAAGTCTGATTATGGATGTGAAACTTTTTGTTCATAGGTTTCAGTCAAAGCTTACATTCATCCAAACTAAGCCCAATAGCACATGATATATATGAGTTAATTCCACCTAACATTGTCCCAAAACTAAAGCCCAATGATATATATGAGTTTTTGGAATGAGAATTTATTCCACCTAACATTGTCCCAAAACTAAGCCCAAAAGCACACACATGACGCAGTGAGTCTTACAAATGACAATCTATCCCGCCCAACCCTAAAGGACCAGTTTTTACCCAATTTTTGTTTTCATAGGATCAATGATTGCATTAAACCTTGAATCCCAAATTGATTTTGATATAGAGACGGTATAGGCCTCCCTTAACTCGTATCTTGGCTTCACCCCTTACCCTTAATACCAATTTTCAGCCAATTTTTGTTCTTATAGGGTGGTGTTTGGGAACTTGGTTTGTGGGGTTTTTTTTGTTTTTTTCACTACAAGACAAATGTTTTACAAAATAAAAAAAAAACAAATCCAAACAAAATATCACGTCAAATCTCATAATCATTTCATTTTTTCTCTCACAAACATCACATCCAACCACAAAAAAATCTAACTATTTTCGCAAACACAAATTTTTTTTTCTCCAATAATATCTTACAACTAAAAAAATTTATAAAAAAATCCAATTCCCAAACACCCACATGAAACTATGAATCCCAAGTTAATTTTGATATGGGCATCTCTTGCCTTATATCTTCACCCCAACCCCTTGCCTCTAAAGACAAATTTCAACTATTTTTTTGTTCTTATGTGGCCCTCACCCCTAATCTTATATCTTGTGACTTTTTAATTAACCCAAGAGATCCTCTTGATTTCATTCTTTATTAATTTTCAAAAAAATTATGAAGATTCAGACTGATTTGCTCTTAGTTTGGGTGCCTAAGTGCTAAGCAATGCTACTCTTGTTCATGGTGTTGCCAAATTATCTATTTTACTTCATTTATTTTTACATAAAAATATCTACTTTTGTTGTACACATTCATTTACACGTGTCAAAATTTATCAAATAAGATTTTTATCAAGATATGAAATTATGTAAAATTTGAAATCTTTCGATTTCTAAAATCTATTCATTCACACATTTAGTTTTAACATTCATTCCTTGAAACTTTTAATTTTGTACATGCACCTCTTGATTTACCACATCCATAACTGCAACTCATGTATACCTTATTCATTCATAATTGAATTACTAATATTAAGGGTGTTAGAAAATGTATGTTTGGTTTGAGTTTAGGAATTGAGTTTTAGAGATAAAAAGTACGAAAAGTTGTTTGGTTTAGTTTTTTTCAAAAGATATTTTGAAAATTTTTTTTGAGAGAGAGTTTTGGAAAAAGTGATTGATTTGATGTGTATGAGAGAGAGATTTGTTTGGAAAACTTATAAACCAAATAAGTTTTGAAAAAAAATTTTGGAAAAATTTGTTTGGTTTGAATACTTTTGAAAACTTATTTGTAGAGAATTTTTCCTAAAAATTTTTGGGAAACACAAACCAAACAAGGCCATAGTTTTTCGACAACTTTAATTCAAAATTAAGCTAGGGCCCAACTGTCGGTTGAGGGGAGTCCGAGTGGGGTTATATTTTCTTGAGTGAGAAGATTACAATATAAAAATAATGAGCCGAAACCATCAGGTTGTGAATGAAAATTATCTCATGAAGTGAACATCAATAGAAGTTAGTCTTGGGCTTGGGCCTAGGCTTGGACTTGGACTTAGTCTTAGTTTGGACTAAGCCTAAGCTTGTGCTTGTGCATATGTTGGACTTAGACTTGGGCATGGGTCAGGTTGTGCTATGCTGGGGGTTGGGCTTAGCTTGTGTATGTGTTTGAGATTGGGCTTGAATTAGATTGTGACCCACACCTCGTATCCATTTTGTGACCCATCTATTTGAATTATTCAAACATCATTATATGCATATTTATTTGTATATATTAAGCACATGAATTTTTAAATTTTTGTAACTCTCATCTTTTGATGATAGAGTTGATGACCATATTAGTGGCCATGAGTTTTTAACCTTTATAACTCTATGCCTAATAACTAGAGTTGATGGCCTTGGTTAATGACAATTTGATAATCCTATTGATGTTAGCCTTCATCTAAGGTTCTCTCCTACAAGTATAATTTCCCCTCCAACTTAGTAGAATAATTTTGGAAAGTTTTTTTTTTTTTTTTTTTTTTTATGAAAAATGAGATGGTGTTTTAAGATAATAAAGTTGGAGATGATTTTTATACCAAGGAAATTTTTTCTATCTTCTTTGTGCTAGACGTTTCTTTGGTTCCTACTAGAGAGAAAGTGCTGCCATTGTCAAGTTTGTTGAAACTATTTAGAAGGTGCTTCTGCATTAGCTTGTTTCAACCATCGTAACTTGGGAGATAGATGCCGATGTATCTCCTACACCCATCAGGAGGCGGTGAATCTGTTTCAATGAAATTGTGGTATCACACAGGTTTTTCGGTTTGCGTCTCTTATCTTTTGTTCTTCAAACTTTTAGATTTAAACTATTTCTTGTATATTATTTTGTAGGTCTATGTGAATGCATCTTATAATATATTCTATGACGTAATCTAGTTCATCCCTATATTTTTAGTTTTGTAGTTTATTATGTATTTCATTCGTTAATTTTTAAAAAAAATGTTATCATTTCTATTTAATTTATTATATATATTTTTCTAGAATTATTATGGAAAAATATCAACAATCTTAAAATAGACTTTTTACAAATAGTTTTTGATTAAACAATTTTATCATAGTTTTTGTCATAGTTTTTATCACAGTTTTGTTCTAGTGAATCTTGGAATTAAAATCACTTAAATTGTCTAGAGTTATTGGATTGGTTTAAGTTGTTTATTTCTAGTTATTTATTCATGCAATGTATTTGATGTTAATTAGTTATTATTGCATGAGTTAATTGATTGTTAGTGCTTAAGTTGCTAGGAG